GTGGTTTTACTCCCAGGAAGAGGCCTTGGCGGTTTCGTGCAGGGAAGGCCGGTGGATGAAAGTATAACGGGGTTCCCCGCTCCCAGGGCGCGCTCCTCCGGCCACGCGGATCTACTCCCGCCCGCCCCCCCGTTCCTCCAGGAGCGCCCCGCGCCGACTTGGATTTCTTTCCAAAGCGGCGGGCTGCAAGGCGGCTTCCTTGCTCCCGAGGAAGTCCGGGGCTGGGCGCTCCTGTCAACCTGGCGGTGCCTCTGCCGTTGAGCGAGGGGCGCCCAGGAAGCCGAAGGGCTGAGCAGGCCAGGCCCTTCTGCGCTTGCAGGACGGCGGGGGTCCTTTAGGTCCAATTCTCCCCACCCCCTCCGGCCTAGCCAGAACCTTTTGAGCCGGACTCCCGGCTGCTGTGTCCGATCCGCAATTCCGCAACCTAAAAATTCCCCCGCGTTCTGTTTTTCCCAGGAGTCTGCGCCCACCTCTTGTTAATCCGGGATGTTAGCGGGATAGCGAGGAAAAAGAAGCATTTGCTTTTTATTACAAGAAAAACTCTCGCTTTTATTTCGGGGGGGGGTCATCAGTTTAGGTCTGTGGGTGTTTTCCTCCGGCCTTCCAGGCGTCCAAGGATTATCCAGGCGTAACGAACTTACTTCCCCCAGACTTGGGGGGGAGCACAGCTCCGAGACCCCAGAAAGTGGCGGGTGCTTGCCTGTTTCTTTTTCTGGTTCCCAGCCCCTTGAAGATAGACTGCCTTTGTTCATGGAGGGTGGGGCGAGTTATCGCTCGGCCAAGTGCCTCTTTTCTAGCCAAACTGTTGCGTGAGTCCATGGGTTAACGGGGCGAGGGGGCTGGGGATAGCAGAAGAGGGGGGGGTGCTCAGCTAACTTAAACCCTTCGCCCGGAATTATATTATGGGGCGTCTTTCCTCGAAATAAATCTTATTCTTTCCAAGGCCTGGTAGTAAGAACCGATTCGCGCCTTTAATAGCAGCCAAAGGGTTACTGGCAAGAGGTTAGGGAGGGGTCCGCCGGGACGTGGCTTTCCTCCTTTTTGGCGTTCCGCTTTGGGGAGGGGAGGGGAGGGGGAGGGGGAGGGGGAGGGAGGGGGCTTCAGCATCTCTTCCCAATCCCATTTGGGAACAGAGCTGCAACTGTGCGCCCCCGGGCGCCAGTACACGTGTCCGTTGGATGCGCTGCACCGAAGCCCCCCGCGGCCCCTCCCTCCCTCCACCCGGACCCCCGCCCTTCCCCTCCCCTTCCTCGCGCGCTCTATTTTTGCTGAATTAAGAAGGCGACGTCCTCCCCTTCAAGTACTTCTGTTAATATTGAAAAACGTGCGTTTGCATCTCAAGCGGCCTCACTTAGGCTCCGCCGCCATTTCAATATTAATGAAATTGTTTAATCTCCTAAATTCGTCGTGTTTAAGTTACGTTTCGGTGAGTTATTGACCAGCAACAAAAATGTGGTTAATGGGGTGTGTGGACGGGTGAGTGTGGGCGAGTGTTAAAAGAAAAGGAGGTGTGTGTGGGGGGGTGGAGGGATGTTCCCGGGAAAGAATCGCCCTCCCCTTGGGGGGGGGGCTAATTTCTTTCTGGCCGTGCATCTGCAAGACGCCGCGTTTACATAGAGCAGAGCGAAATCCCCGGCGTGGTTTAGCAGAGGAATCCTGGGCCCTTATTACGGCCTTTCCAGCCGTTAGCCCCCCCCCCCACTTTCCCCACCCCGTGCGCGCATTTCCGCGGGCGAGTTTTTTACTCCCTGGGCGTCTTGTCTCTAAGGTGGGGAAATAAGAAAGACAGCGCCCTCCCACGAGCCCCCCCCCGACACTATTTCGACCCACTGGTGACGGATTCACGACATGCGTCCCCAACTTTCCAAAGGAGGGGGTTTGTAATTCTTTCCCCTGAATCCTCCACCCGCCCAGTGAGGTGAGCGAGAGGTTCCAAATCTCCTCACCCACTTTCACGGACGTGGGAGAAAGGGTGTCCAAGACTCCAGGACCCCACCCTCTCCAAGTGGGCATTTGGGGCACAGATCGCGGCGCCTCAAGTGGCGCAGAGTTCCACGAGACCGTTTCGGGAAAAGCAGCCAGGTTTGGTTCGATTAATCTATGGCTAGGCTTGGAAAGGGCACCACTAAGGAATCCCCCAATCCTCTCTCAGGCTCTCCCTCCCTCCGGCTCCTCTCCCCTCCCCTCCCCGCTAGCCACAGAGGGCCGCGCTGTCACCTTTTCTCACTAAGGCGCTCGTGCTCCCGGCCCAGCTGCGAGGGGTCACCAGCCTCTCTGGCAGGATTTGTATGCGAGATCAAAGAGCCGTAGGAATGCCTTTCTTTTAGACACGCGTACAGTTCGGGCATTGGTGGAATTTTAGCTGGGAAGAAGAAAAAAACCCCGCAGGGCTGCAAAAGGGACGGGAGCTGGGATGGTTTTGGGGAGGGGGTCCTTCGCCTTTTCCCCCACGCGGAAGACAGTTCTCCTCCTGGGAAGGCTTTGATCAGGCTTGCTTTGAGCCAGGGGCCTGATCCCCAATAGCAAGGCTTAGACAGGAGAGCTGAGGTGCGGTGAGAAGAATATCCGTTTTATGGAGCCTCCCATCGCCCTCCTCCCTTCATGAGGACCAGGACCTTAGCGAAAGGTTCACGGGAAGAGCGTCTGAAGGCTAGCGATTCACCGGCTTTGTTCTCGCTAAGTCAGAAAGTGGTTTGCTGGCTTTCCAGTCAATGCTTGGTGTGAAGTGCCGTCCCAGAGACCCCTTCCTTCAAAACTAGGATGGGGGGTGGCGCCTCAAGTGAAGGACCCCGTCCCACCGGCCCGCCTTAGCTGCGCATCCCCGGCTGAGCACCCGAGAGTCCCCCGCTCAGCCTGTCTCGAGGGGCGGGGATTTGCTCACCTCGTTCGCCTCTACGCCCGTCCCGTCGGGGAACGCGGCTTTACTGCCGGTCAGGCCTCCCTCGCAGGCGAGGAAGAGCGGCGGAGATGGAGGCAGCTCGGCTCGGCGGGTGAACGGAGAGGCTGAAGTGCCGCTTGCGAGCAATCGGGGCGGCCGGACCCCTCTCCCGTCCCCGTCCAGCTGTTAGCCGCTGGGCTCGCGGCTCGCCTCCCCCCGGGTCGGGCCCTGCCCACGTGCCTCTCCCGAAGGGCCTGCAGGAAAGGGGGCCTGGCGGAGGGGAGGGCGGCTCAAACGCGGCGGCGCTGCCTGGATCTCACCGGCGCCTTCCCGCCAGACGGCGAAGTTGGCATCTCTATGCGGCTTTTCCCGCTCGCCTCGCCTCGCCTCGGACTCTCCGGGGAAGGTTCCGCTTTTAGCGCAAGGCCGAAGAATCAAAGTCTCGGACCTTGCCCGCCCCCCCTCCACCGCCCCCCCCATTCCCGCTCCTAGGAAAAAGCGAGCCGGGGAGAAGGGCGAGGCCTCCGCAACCGGCAGGGAAGCGATTTTCCTTCAGCCGAGAAACGGCTGCCTAAGTCAGCCCCGGCCGTTTCCTCCGGGAGGCCCCCGCGCACCCCCGTCCTCTCATCCTGAAGCAAAGCGGGCTGCGCTGGGGCTTGAACTCCCTTCGCCCTCCTGGAAGGCGCAACCTTCTTGCCACCGAGCGGGACTTGTGCCGCAATAGGGAGCCCGAAGCTGGGGGGGGGGGGCGAGAAGACGCCCCCGCTGCCCTGCGCTTCCTTGGGAAAGGGAGCCCGGCGCGGCGGAGCCGCTACAGCTGGGGGTGAGCGGACGGGCAGACGGCCAGGCCGAGGAGCCTCTCCCGCCAATAAGTCGGCTCCCCCGGCACAGCTCCAGCCCAGCTCGCTGGGGAGCGGCTCGGATTCTAGCGGGCGACAGCGCAGCTCCACGGGCGCAAAAGCCGGGCAGGCCGGCTGGTTGGCGGCCGCAGCTCTTCCTGGGGGGCGAGGCCGGCCGCCCCCCCCTCTGCCGGCTCAGAAGCGCTTCCCATTGGCCCCCCTGCCGGGGAGGGGGGAGCGGCGGGGCTACAAGCGGCGACCCCCTCCGCGCCGGCTCTGGAGCCCCGCCCCTCCCCCCTCCCAGGCGGGTGTCGTCGCGGAGCGGAGAAAGTGGCCCATTAGCGCGGCGCTTCGACGGGGGCCATTTCTGCGCCAGCCCCCGCCTGCCCAGCTCAGATGGTCGGCAGGCGGCAGGAGCAGGAGGAGGCGGCGGCCGCGCCAGCGCTGGGCAAGGCCGGGGCTGCTTAGCCCGGCGGCTGCGGAAAGTCGGAAAGGTCTCCCGCTCCACAGCCCCCCCCCGCCCGGAAGCCCCGGCCCGCGGAAAGGAGGAAGGCTCCGGGCTCCGTCCGCCGGCTGACCTCGCTCGTTCGCCCGCGGCGCCTGTGAAGTGAGTGCCCGGGGCGGGACGGGTGAACGGCGGGGGGCTCGTCTTTTCCCTTCGCGGGGGGGGAGGGAGGTCCTGACGGTGCCCCCCCCCCTGCGCGCTCGCTGCGGATGGCGCGGGACCCGCCAACGCCGTCACAAATTGGGAGCGCCGGGAAAGGCGTCGGGAGCCCGCGGAGGGGAGGGGAGGGGTCGGAGGGGAGCGCATAAAACGGACGGGCGAGCGAGCGAGCGGCCAGGCGACTGGCGCCCAGGGCCCGGCTGCTGCTCTCGGCCGGTCGGAGGAAAGCGCCGCCCCCGCCGGAGGAGCCTGCCCGTCGGCGTGCAGAGGGGCGGGTGGCCAAAAAGGGGAGGACCCGGTGGGCCGCGAGGCGCGGGGTCCCGTCCCGCAGGGGGGTCCCGGGGCTGTCAGCCGGCCTGGCCAGGCTGGAGATCGGCCTCCGCTGGGCTCGCCCCTCCCGCCGAGGGGCCACCCCTCCCCAATCGTGCCGCGCTCAGCCCGGGGAGGGGGGTTGCCGGCTCCGCCCGCCCCTCCAAAGAGAGCGAGCCAACTTTGCCCAAGGGGGGGCTCGCCCCCGCCCGCCCCGCCCCCTCCTCCTCCTCCTCCTGGCCCAGCCCGCTAATTCCGCCTCCCTGCGCTGCAGATCCCGGCCGGCAACGCCGCCGCCGCCGCCGCCACCATGCCCCGTCCGGGCCGCAACACGTACAGCGACCAGAAGCCGCCCTACTCCTACATCTCGCTGACGGCCATGGCCATCCAGAGCTCGGCGGAGAAGATGCTGCCGCTGAGCGAGATCTACAAGTTCATCATGGAGCGCTTCCCCTACTACCGGGAGAACACGCAGCGCTGGCAGAACTCGCTGCGCCACAACCTCTCCTTCAACGACTGCTTCATCAAGATCCCGCGCAGGCCCGACCAGCCGGGCAAGGGCAGCTTCTGGGCGCTGCACCCCAGCTGCGGGGACATGTTCGAGAACGGCAGCTTCCTGCGCCGCCGCAAGCGCTTCAAGGTGCTCAAGGCCGACCCGCTGGCGCCCTCCAAGCCGCCCCCCGAGGCCGCCCACTACCTGCAGGCCCAGGCCAAGCTGCGCCTGGGCGCCCTGGCCGCCGCCGCCGCCGCCTCCGCCGCCGCCGCGCCGCTCGGCCCCTACGGGCTGCCCGTCCCGCCGCCCTCGGGCTTCAAGCACCCCTTCGCCATCGAGAACATCATCGCCCGCGAGTACAAGATGCCCGGGCCGGGCGGCGGGCACGTCGGGCACGGGGGGCACGGCGGGGGCGGCGCGGCGCTGCCTTTCTCCGCCATGCCGCCCGGACCGGCCGCCTACCCGCTGCCCAACCAGCTGCCCCCCGCCTGGCCCCACGTCTACGGCTCGGCCGGCATGCTGGACCCGGCCGCCCCCATCGCCGTNATGCCGCTGAAGCCGCTGTGCCACGGCGGACAGACGCTGCCGGCCATCCCGGTGCCCATCAAGGCCACGCCGGCCGCCGCCGTCCCGGCCCTGCCCGCGCTGCTGCCCGGCTCGCCGCCCTCGCTCAGCCCGCCCTCCACGCAGACGGCACCCAGCCAGGGCAGCCCCGCCACCCCCAGCGAGACGCTCACCGGGCCGCCCTCCGTCCTGCACGCCGTGGTGGCGGTGCACTGACCCCGGCCGCGCCGCCCTCCGCCCAGGAACCAGCGGCGCGGCGAGGCGAGGCGGCCTCCGGAGGGGGCATCCAGGGGCCGCCGCCACCCCCGTGCCACCCAGCAGCGGCGGCCGTCCGAAGGTCCCCAAGCCGGTTGGGTCTTCGGAGCCAGCCCGTCCCGCCTCTTCCCAGCCCCCGCCGGACCCAGAAGGACGAGAGGCGGCCGGGGGACGCGCGGGGACCTTGCAAAGGCTTCTCCCCCGAGCGGCCTTTCCGGAGCGCGCAAGCAGGCGGCGAGGCTGGCTCTCCTGGCAAGGCTGGTTGCCGGTCCGCAGCTCCGCCGGCCCCCCGCGTGCCGGGCTCCCCTTTCGCCTTTCCAAATGCCGCCCCCTCCTCTATGTTGCAAGGCGGCACCGGCGAGTGGGGAAACGCGGGGGGGGGGAACCCGCGCTGAAGAGGATTCGCGCCCGGGGCCACGGGCACGCCAGCACCCCAAAGCGACCGGCGTTGCAAATCCTCTACTTTGAGGGAGCAGATATTCCACCCGCTGGATCTGGTGGTTGAGACTCGGCCGATTTCCCCTCCCGGTCAGCACCCAGGGACGCTTCCTCGGAAGGCAATGCCTCCCCCCCCCCCCTCCGGGGCTGGACTTGCGAGGAAATCGGGCTGCTGCGACCGGCTAACTGCAGCCCAGCTGGGAATGACTCCGAAGCACAAATTGGACTTATTTCCGTGTAAAGAGGTGGGGGGGGGGTTGCCTTGCTTCGCTTGAAGCGATAAACTTTGACTGGGACGGCCCCAGGTGCGGACGAAGCGTTGTCAAGGCAGCGCGACGATTCCCCGGTCCGTCCGTCCGTCCGTGAACGAACGAGTGAGCGAGTGAGTGAGCGAGCGTGGCGCGTGTGTGTTTCAGCCCTTTCCCTCCTGCAAGCTTAAAGTTTAATTTCTACGCGGGGAGAGCGAGGAGAAAGCGAAGTTGTGTTGTTGCCCAGCTTTGCTCTGCTTGGGGTGGGGTGGGGGAAAGAGAAACGGGCTCGGCCTTGCCGCGGGGGCTCGCCCCGGGTGGGTGGGTGGGAGGGAGGGAGGAGGAAGGGAGGCGCGGAGGCCCCTAAATCTACCCAGCCAAACGGAGCATCTCCCTTTTTCCCACCGGAATGTTTGCAGACAAACCAGAGGGAAACGTGTACGTGTCTGTGAATCCGGATGGCTGCCGGCTGTGTCCGATGCACTTTTATCCCGCGCCCCTCCTTCCCTCGCCATAGCTAGTGCGCAGCTCCCCCCGCGCCCGTTTGGGGAACTGGTCAAGGGCCCCCACGACAGGAAGCCGCTGCTCCGAAGCCCTGAACGAAACGGGGGCTCGGATCCTAAGGGGCGTCGGGAGGGAGCGCATCCAGAGACGGCGGACCCAGAGACAAAAGCGCTTTGGGTTGGTTCTGAGGTGGGGTGGGGGTCTTTCTGAAGGGTCGGGGCCGAGCGCTTTCCTTCGTTCCCATGTGGGTGGCTTGATATTGTACAGGATGAGCATGATATTTAAAATATGAATGTTCTCGTGAATATCTTCAGCATGTGTGTTTTCGGGCAAACGTTTGACTTTTTTTGTTATAATTATTGTTGTTTTTCTTGATATGGTGTTTGGATTGTTGTCGGTTGGGTCTGGGGAGTTTTGTTTTTTTTCTGGTCTCAAAGTGTCTATCTTTAAATTATGAAACTAGCCGTCCAAATAATATTTTCTCATTAAAAGATGTAAAGACGGAACAGGGTTTTTCTTTTTCGGCCGTCTTTTCGAGCTGAAAAGGGGAGGGGGGGCAAATTCGCTTTGCATAAATTATTTCCGTAGGAAGAAGGCCTGAATGAACGGGGGGGGCTGGGGGGGCTGTCTCTGGGGAGCACAAGAGAAACAGCTTCAAGAAGATCTCAGAATCTGATTTGTATCTCCGGATTTTGGTCTAATCAGTCTGGGAGGCCAGGACCGAGTTTTGTGTGGCTTCCTCGCTAAAGCCGGATTTAGCCCAATTCGGGAAGGTTTCAGCATCATTTAGTCGAACTTCTAGGAAGTTGGGTTACGCCGCCCAAGCGAGAGAAAGAAGCCCGCCGAAGTAGCTGACTGCTGAGCAAACAGGCTGACGGGCCATACCTCGGCGCTATTAAGAACACACACACACCCCCCAAGTCCCGGCTCCTGAGTTCAGGGCGGAGAATTTGATTTTGCGGGATCGGGCCCCGCTTGACCTCCTAGCGCCCCTTGCCTCCCCCAGGCGTTCGTTCGCCCTTTGCAAGGCAGGAGTTCAACAGGGTGGCAGCCTCGAGGGCCTCGGGTGACCGTCCCGCGGGGAACGAGGGCTCCTGCTGGGCGCTCCCCGATCCAGCCCGGCGCGCGTTTCCTTGGGCGGCGGCGGCGGCGGCGGCGTCGCTTCTCCGGTTGAAAGGCAGCCTGAGTGGATGGCGGTGTAGCCCCCTCGGAAGTTGGTCCGCCGTTGTGGCTCGCGTGGCCCTTCCGCCCGGAGAAGTCGGTCGGTCCAGGCTTTAGCGGCTACTTTTCCTGGTCGCGATGGAAAAGGTAATAAAAATAGAATAAGCTGATATCCGTGGCGGTGAGACTTGCGGGGCGCTGGACTTTGCCTGGCATTACAAACCTTTTAAGCAAAAGATCGCCCTTTTTGGCTGTGGATTTGTGGGGGTGGGCTCAAGACTGAAGCCCCCGCCTGTTTACTCGGAAGTAAGCCCGGGGCGCCTCCCGAAGGAGCCTCCGCAGAGGAAGTTAGCGTCGCCCTATAAAAGGGACTTTGCGCCCGCGCCGCCTTGGAAACGGCCCCCCCCGGCCCCCTCGCGAGCCGCTTCAGTGTAAAAATCGGAGATTTGTTGTGTGGCGGCTTCTGGTCCAGAAAGGCGGGGGGGGGGTCGTGAGTTTTCTAACGGGCCGGGCCGGGAACCCAGGCCCAATTCGCCCTCTTCCCCACGAAGAAAAAGCGAAAGAGAACGGGGGGGGGGGGGAAATGAAGAAAGGCGTAGCGCCCCCCATCTCCCCAGAGTTAATCTAGCGGATAAATCCCTATCCGAAAGGAAACCAGGGTCCCCGATCCAGAACCCCCGTCCCAAATGGACCTAATGGCAGCCCAGCTTCTGCTTACTCATAAGTCGGTCTGGCCTGAAGAAGCGCTAAATCGCAGGGTTGGGAGAGTGTAGCCCAGCCACGCTTGGCGGGAGGAAGCGCCCCTGAAGCCCGGAAGAGGGGGGGTCCTTTTAAATAAGGGAGAGAAGCTGGCAGGCCGCCACCCCCGGGCAGACGAAAAAAAAAAGGGGGGGGGAGTCTAGTGATAGCTTGACCTAAGTAGCAAACGTGGCGGTGGGCTGCTTTCTCTTTCCCAGGCTCGGTTTCCCATCTTGCCACTCACCTCCCCCCCCCCAGGAGAATGTGACAGTAGCCCATCGGGCTCACTCTGGAGTAAAAGAGGAGAGCGTGCTCGATCCCTTAAACTTGTTGGGTCGGGACAGCCTAGCAACAGGTGCGCTATTATACCCTTCTTGAAATAGTATAAAGTCCGTCTTCACGTTGGTCCTCTGGGTCGCGCTGCGAGTCCCTAGCAAAAGGTGGCTGGGAGCTTTCCTGCATCCGGTCTGACAAAAATTTGCAGGTTAGCCTGCGGAACTCCGCGGCACTTGAATCGGTTTTGCCTCACAGCGGCTCTCGGCTGTTCCCATCCGAAACTTTCGACATTGGGTCTGTTATTGGGACACTCCGAATTCCACTCTTTTGAGAACGGCAGTTATTTTAGAAGGGAAAAAGGATTTTTTTTTCTTGTAAAAAGGAGCGAGATTATTCCGAAGTCCCTGAGCACCTGTTTGCGCCAGGAATTTTGATCAAACCGCAAAAAAAAAAAAAAAAAAAAAAAACCCGGAGTTGGATCTTACCTCACAAGGTGAAAAAGAGGCCGATTTTATCACTTAAAAAACAAAAAACAAAAAACCTCGGAATGCAATTAGCCCGCAAGTCGTGGGAGAAGCCAACCGACTTTCTTCCGCAGCCATAAATAAATAAACACGAGAATTAAAATGCCCTTTAATAAAGGAAACCTTCCATCTGTTTCCCAAAGTCCTCGCTCGCTTTCAAAGCCGCCGCCCAACTTTCAAGATTACTTGAAAGGAGAAGAAAAGGCACCCCAAACTCAACGCAGCCCCCCCTCCCCGCCAGGCCGAGGACATAGCCTTGTATGTGTGGAGGGGTGTGGGGGGGGGAGAGATACGACGGGGCAGAAACGCCGGTCTGGGAACCCAAGAAGGAGGCCGTATTTGTTTCTTTTAAACTAACAACAAATTATCTAATTAATATGTTTCAATTACAGCCTGTGGAAAGGCGGCTTTGGACCGCCCGCCGGGGGGGGGGGGAGACAATAGCTTTCCAGCCCCGGACAATAACTTCACAGCTGTTTCTTCACTCTCTCTCCCCCCCCCACTTCTTAGGTCTCTTGGAAAACTGGGAAAGGAGGGGAGGAGAGGAAAAAGAGAGTAAATATATCTATAAATGTTTAACTTCCCCCTCTCTGTTCCAACCTCGCTGCCCACCAAATTGCAGCACCAGGCCGAAAGGGAAAAATTAGCAAGCGGGGTGGGGAGAGAACTACCAAATGCTTTCTTTCTTTCTCTCCCCACCGCCCCTGCTCAGCTTCTCTCTTCACTCCGGGCTTCATTTGCCAAAAAAAAAAAAAAGTGTGAAAACCGCCTCGCCCCCCCCCCGTCTCATCACCTCCGCGCCACCCCCGCTGAAAAGCATTAAACAAATATATTAGAACCCTGTCACTTTCTCCAATTGACTAGATCAAACCCAGCCTCTCTGGACACTTCATTGCCTGAATGGGAAAAGGCAGGGAAGGGGGCAGCCGGGCAGGGCCACCACCGACGTCGCTGTAGCTGCCCCCCTCCCCCGCCTCTTTCCCGCCCCCCCCCCCCCCCCCCNCTTTCTCTCTACCCAAATCCCCGCGACCCCCCCCCTCCGGCCCTTCTCTTCGCCTTTCCTTTTTAGAAG